GGTTTACTAATTTACTATAAAGTTCAAAATTTTAATCTTCAATAAATAATAAAATTTTGGCGTTATTTTTGTAAGCCAGTTTTTTCAATAGTTGGCGATGATTAGAGTTAAGTTGATTATAAGAAACATCTAAAAAGGCCAAAGTATTGTTTATAAAAAGAGCTTTTACCAATATTTCTATCCCGCCATAATTAAGTTGATTATTAGCAAGATTTAAATAAGTTAAAGCAGTGTTTTTGCAAAGAGCCTCAGCTATTTCTTGTCCTCCTTTGAAACTAATAATATTTTTGGAAATATCTAGATGAGTTAAGGTGGCATTCTTACAAAGAGCATGTGATAATAGTTTTATTCCTGTGACACTAAGTTGACAATTAGAAATTTCTAAATAAGTTAAAGTGTTATTAACACATAGAGCACGCGAAAATTCCACTAACCCAAAACATGTAGGCCTGTTACTGCCAAGATATAAAGAAGTCAAGGTAGTATTCTTATAAAGTGCATCAGATAATGCTTTCATTCCATTAAAAGTGATTAGATTATCTCTGAGATCCAAGGAAGTTAAACCATTATTGCCAAGGGTTTTTGCTAACATTTCTGTTCCTGTAGAATCAATTTGATTATCATGAAGGATTAAATATTTTAGAGTAGTGTTTTTATAAAGAGCTTCTGATAAAAACTTGCACGCTTCAAGTTGAATATTGTTTGAGTTAATGTATAAAGAAGTCAAAGCAGTATTTCTGCAAAGGGTATCAGCTATCATTTTTACACCTCCTAAACAAATTTCATTACTTCCAATATTTAGAGAATTTAAAACATTATTCACATAAAGGGCCTCTGCTATCGCTTTTATTCCTTCAAACCCTATGTTATTATTATAAAGACTTAAGGATTTTATGGTAGTGTTGATACGAAGAGCTTCTGCCAATACTTTGCCTTCATTGCTGCCAAGATTATTGCCATCAAGGCTCAAGAAATTCAGAGAGATATTTTTATAAAGAGCTGTTGCAAGTGCTTTTACACCTTCAAAACCAAATTCATTATAGTTAAGATTTAAGGAGGTCAATGTGATATTTTTGAAAAGAAATTCTGCAAATGCTTTTACACCCTCATCACCAAGTTTATTATTAGAAATTTCTAAAGTGGATAGCGTTGTATTTTTGTAAAATATTTCTGCCAGCAATTTTGCTTCTTTGGAACCAAGTTTGCAACTAATTAGTTTTAATGAAGTTAAGCAGGCATTCATACACAGAACATCCGATAATGCCTTTATTTCTTCAAAATTAAGCATACTTTCTGAAATTTCTAGAGAAGTAATAGTAGAGTTTGTATAAAGAATTTCTGCTAGTATCTTTACGACCCTGACATTAGTAATTTCTTCTGATTTATTGTTAATTTCTTCTATTTGCAAATACCTAATGTTTTCGCCTGTTCTTAATAGCATTGCAATTATCGAATATTTAACTACTTGAACTTTATTCTTTGATTGATGATATTCCTCAAAACAATCAAGTGAGTCTTTACTCGCGTAACCCTCATGGCAAAGCCAATTTTCAATTCCTTTTTTTAGATTATAGCCGTTGATTGATTTAGTATAAGATGTGTATTCAAATAACAGTTTTGAGTCATTTGGAGGCAATATATTCAACTGAATTAACGGTGTTCTTTCTTTTTCATTCAATGATAAAAGATATGTTCTTATAAGTTTATTATCATCGGAATGCATTAATGGTTCGCTCCACAATATTGGAATAATAATTTGGCACCATTGACGGTTTACAAGAAGGCATGAAAATAAGAATCTATAATAATTTCTAAGATTATTAAATATTTCAAAAAGGCATTCGTTTGGCAAGGATAACATTTTAAATACGTAGTTTCAAAATTAAAAATACCGTATCGCAGGTTATTAAATAAACTTGCGTAAGAAAGTGACTATATTTATAAAGTTTAATGTTACAAGATAATTCACGTACGTACGTACGTACATACGAGGTGATCTATGTAGATCAAGAAACCCAGTAATCATTGAGGAATCAACAGGAGGAACCGTTGATACGTCACAAAATCGTTACACAATTGATAAAAAGGGAAACAAGGTTGCAGAAAATACAGAATCAAATGCATTTTCTCTGATTTTTTAATATTATCTAGTTTTTATGGGATGGAATTCGTTTAATTATATATTGTTCTAAGTTAGAGTTAATACTTCAATCTGGATATATATATATCCAGATTGATATTTTGTCATAAAATTATAGTAAAATATAGTTAATTTAAATCAGGATTTATTTTATAATATAACCGTTGATGGGAGAGCTTAAAAAAATAATATAGATGAAAGGCCAATTTAACTTCAATGGTGTATGGGGAGATAAAGATAAACTTAGACGCAAATAAGGTTTTTATAATTGTTGAAGGTCTATTAAAACAATATGACACTATGAAATGAAGGTTTTAATATGAATAGGAGTGATAAAGGGGGTGATGCAACTACAGGTAATGTTGTTAGGGATATCTAAATAAGGATGGTGAGGTAAAAGCAGACGATGATCAAGTGATATCAGCAGTAACTTTAAGGTACATGAGAATGAGGGATTAACTGAGTTTAGTAATTGATCGTAAGTCTCATTCTTTACCACAATTCTTGCAAATTACTAAGGTGAATGGCAATATCTGATTCCACAAACGTTCTATAATTCGAGTCTTAATAAGCCGAATCGAAGTTACAGGTCAATTCGTCTGTCAAATTGAGTCTAGTCTCGAAAGGGTTTATTAAAGTTAAAATTGAATTCAAAAGACAATACACAAGGGAATATTCAAATAAGTATATACTTTTATTCAAGCGAATATAGAACAAATTATTTATTTAATGATAGAATGGAATTGCATTCCTTATTTAATAATCAAATAGAACTGAAAAATTCAGCCTTTTTGGCCTTAAACTTTAGGTTTTTAAATACATTTTCAATTTTCAATCCAACGGCTACGTTTACACTACTTTCGCTACGTCTACGCAATAATAGCTACGTTTACACACCTATTTTCTAAGTTACTTCCTTGTGATTATGCAAGTAGGTGATTATAACAAGTCCAAATAGCTACGCTACTCCACTACGCCCACGTTCACTTAGCCATGGGGACGTTTACGTCCCATTTTCAAAGCTTTTTCCTTGTGATTATGCAAGTAGCCTGTCGTAACAGGTTCAAACGGCTACGTTTACGTACGTACGTACGTACCCACTGTTGCGTTCTACACGCCTGCCTTGAGTAACATTCATATGATTAAGCCACCAAGCCAATCCATCATTACCGTTTTAGTATAAGTTATGAGTAAATTAATAAATACGTATACTAAAATTGGACATTGTTACCACAATGAGGTGGGGAATTACCAATAAACTATGAACATGCGGAAAAGTTACCGACTAAAATATAAATTCAGAACAAAAATAAAGAAACCAAAATTTTGATAATTGTTACAATATACGGATATTTCCGAATATAAAACATTAATGAGGTATTAACTCTATTCTATGTTGAAACTTCAAAATTAGAGCTTCAAATATAGCGCAACACAGTTGTGCACTTGTTAAGTAGTTATTTTTTATTTGAAAAAAAGTTCATTAAGTTTATTACAAGAAAGTAGATAGCTTACCGATTGCATAGTCACAAATAAAAAAAATTTTAATACAGTATATGATATATAAAAGCCTCCTGCACGAATAGAAGATCTAAGCCACATGATAAGCAAAAAAATATAAATATGACCCGAGTAATGTACGTACGTACGTACGTACGTACGTACGATAAAAATTTTTGGGGGTAAATCTGAAGTATATGTGACAAATAAATGCGAATACAGTATACCGGTGCTGCAT